CAAATCTTCAAATATTTATGTCTCTTGATTTAAAATCTTCGACAGCGGCCACACATACACCTAGGTAATATATAAATTTTAGAAATATTATTTTCTGCATCATCTAACTAGTAGTCAATGCTTATGTTACCTGTATGCTTCATTTAGATTCAGATGATTCTTCCAGCTCTTCTGACTGTGAATTAGAGAAGTTATTTATACAATATCCAAGGATAGAAAAGATACAACCAGATTGTATCTCTTAATTTAAAAATAGTTGCATCGGGGAGTTTTGTGTACAAGATTTGTTGGTGATTTTATTTTTACTTAACTTTCTGTTTTTAATCACAATTGTATTGCCATCATTTCAGAAAAGTTTATAAGCTGTGCCTTTTAGCAGTTAAATAATTTCTTGGTTTTTCTGCTACTCTTAACATCTTCTCTTGTTAACCACACTCTCATTGAACTAACTGCTTAAAACATTTTCAAAAAATTCTTAAAAATCTCCAAACAGGGCCTAGGATTTTTAAAAAGCGTAAAATCTAGACTCTTCATTCAGCTTAATCTAGAAGGTGTTTCACACCTGGTTACTTGTTGCCTAATGTGTGTCATGGACCATGGAGGTCCTGGGCAAGGATGCTTACTGTTGTGGATGCTGTATCGCACTGCCCAGACCCCCTTCAGGACTGAGGCTCTCACTCCCCCACTGGCTGGGATTGACGGTTCACAGCTGAGTCCCTCTCTTCTTCCTTGCAAGCAGCCCGTATCCATTGGCTGGCAGAGGTAGGGATATAAAAGCCCTACCCCCTAGCTGCAAGGAAAGACAATTCTGCAGAGCCATCCTAACTCCAGAGTTCTCCGTGAAACCATCAGAAGCCTTTGTTATAACCGAATCATAGTTCAATTCCTCCCTCTATCCAGATGCTTCCTGTTCTCACCCACAGGCATGAGCTCAAAGCCACTCTTCAATAACTTCTTTAGTTATTTAGAAAGCTCTGTTTCAGAATCTGATTCCTAGCAAACTCAACCTATGACCATAGCTCCACACGGGGAGAGCAGGGTGCCACTGTTTGGTCACGGAGGTTGACATAAACCTTTAAATCAAGGACATTATAATATTCGGTGTCATAGAAGCATCATACAATCCTATGGGAGTGGAAGAAGTGACTTATTTTGCTTGGAGTATAACAAAGGAAGAATTACGAAAGGTTTTGCAGAAGAGGTAATGTTTGAGCTTAACTTCGAAGAATGAGTAGGTCTTCTCTAGACGAAGAAGGATGTGAGGTAGTCTGGGTTTGTAAAAGAACACAGCTTATTAAAGATGTGGCAGAGAGCTCAGTGTGGCAGCTGGAAGGTGGGCTCCACGGGTGGGGTCCCAGTAGAGATGGGTTCAGAGCCAGGCCATTAAACACTCTACTGATTTTGAAGGTTCTTATGCTGGAGTGTCCTCTTCCTTCCTAATTCCCGTCTGTCAAACTTGGCACCCCTACTTCACATACAAGATGTACTTTGAGTAGATATACTTAGAGACACCCTTCTTCCACTTGTTTGCTTGAAGACTTGTTATTTCTTTTTCTATTTTCTTAAATACTATTTTATTTATTAACCGTTTCATTTTAACCTGCTTTAGAAAAGCCTCATGTTTATATAAAGAGTGTATCTTTTAGTCTGCCTTTAAAATAACCTTCTGTAAAAAGACACAGAGATCTTTCTCTATCGTGCCTAAAATTCTACCACTAGCAATTTCTGGAATTCCAAGCGGTAAGGTACAGTAAAGTTTAGATAGTCCAGATTTCTAACACGTGAACCCTCGTTTCAAGCCTCAGATGAAGGGTTGTCCAGTTGTTTTTAGTATATCTCTAGTAACGGAAACATTGACCTTTACCTGTTTCTGTTAATACTGATATATCACGGAGTAACAAAATTGCAGAGTTGGAATTAATCATTGTTTTACAGGTGAGAAAACCAAGGTCTAGAGAGAAGAAATCATTTACCTAAGGTCATACAGTAGGTGTTGACAAATCCAGAGGGACGATTCATATTCTTCATCTGGCAACTTTGTCTCTCTATGGCTACATAATGAATTCATCAGATACCTATCTGAATTATTGGGAGGCAGGAAACTGGGGTACCAACCCATCCTCTGCCCCTAATCATCTCCATGACTCAGGTCCCAGCTGTATCAGTCTTCCAGGTCTGTTTTCTCACCTGGGAAATCAGAGGCCTGGACTAGAGGAACTCCCAGAGCCCTCCTCCCAGACATTTTTAGAGTCTTTATCCTTTCTTTAGGAGCAGATGTGTCTAAGAGTCCTAGTGGGCCAGTTGAAGACTGAAAGCAGAAGTAAAGAGAAAGGGCTGAAGAAGATTCACACGTCCTCCTCAACCATTTGCTAGTCCAAGCTTCTAGTCAGATGCATTCTTGGAGCCTTTATTTTCTGATTTAGGGGCATTTTACAATAGTCTCACTTTAGGTATATTTTACACTGTTCTTCCTTTGTAGCAGAAATGTTCAGATTACCTGTTCTTTAAACATGGACCATAAAGTCTTTTCTTAGAAACTGACTCTACCTTATATGCTGCTGCTGGTTTTGAGTGAATGGGCTTGAATCTTGCAGCCAAGCCTCAATGCAAACAAAAATATTTTCTGGTCAAGCATTTTCTCGTTTGTTCAACTCCATTACAGGGTTGGCTTTAAAAAAAAAAAAAAAAAAAAAAGTTAGAACCCACAGAAGAGCAAAACACAAACCCTGGGAAGACAGTTTCCAGCCACATTAGCTCAGATCACCAGGGTAGAAAAGAACCAGGGCCTTCATTGTCGAGACCATCGTCATCTCCACTCTCATCTTATGTTCTTCTGCTATTTTAATTTCACCACTTCAAAATGGGGGGAAAATAGGTTAATAGTTTCCATGAGTTTAGACTGTGACCAGAGGCATACTAAGCAATTTCAGAACCTCCAGCAACCGCAACTTGGAGGAGAGTACGGTGATGGATTTACTGTCCTCTGGATTCCAGAGTTAGGGGCATCGGGCCAGCACTGTGATGCCAAAGTGGGATGTAAACAATATTCCTTCCTTCGTTCTTTTTGCACATATTCATCCTGAGTTTCTTTTTATTCCAGGTAGTATACTGGGTGAAGCATGGGACAGAGAAACACATTCTTAAGACGTAGTCCCTGCCCTTAAAGAATTGCAGTATATAGTAGAGGAAATAGACATATGTGCAAATAATTTCAATACAGTGAACACTGTGAATGCTTTAAGCAGCATGAATTAAGTGCTCAGGAAGGGGAGAGAAAGAAGCAATTTATTCCAGCTGAAGGCATTGAGGAAGGCTTTACCGCCTTCTGACCCGTACCTTGAAAGGTCAAAATAGCAAATTGTGATTCCTCCTAGGCATTAGCCAATGCACAGAAATATGGAAGTTTCTCATAGGTTTGAACAAAAGTGAGCAGTCTGAGACATCAGGGGAATCTGAACCTAAAAAGGGAGTTTGCACGTCAGGTAAGGAACGAGCTATTTTCACATTGTGGAGCCATATAAGTTTTTCTAGCAAGAAAGCTGCTTGGTCACGTCCGTGTTTTAGAAAGGAAACTGGAAGTCACTGTGAGGATGGGCAAGTGTTACAGGAAGAGAGATGGAAACAAGAAGCCAGTCGGGAACTGTTGCTGTAGTTGTCATCATCACACTAGTTATCTACCTATAGGCACGCCTTGCCTCATGCCCATTTAAAGGTCCTAGTGGTAAGAGGGAAGTTACTCCTTGATTTCCACATCCCTTGCCTCATGCCCATTTAAAGGTCCTAGTGGTAAGAGGGAAGTTACTCCTTGATTTCCACATCCCTTGCCTCATGCCCATTTAAAGGTCCTAGTGGTAAGAGGGAAATTACTCCTTGATTTCCACATCCCTTGCCTCATGTCCATTTAAAGGTCCTAGTGGTAAGAGGGAAATTACTCCTTGATTTCCACATCCCTTCGAGTTCTGCATGTTTCTAATCAGATCCCCATCCCAGGTTTATTCTAAATCGTAAACTCATTGAGTCAGTCCAGACTTCTCAGTTGGAATATAGCATATTACATGTGAAACATGGCTGTTGGTAAGAGAGCATGGTATTCTAGGCAAGGATGGAAAGTTAACAGCTAATTGTATCAATCTTTCTGAGTCCTGACTCAATAAATGGTATCCCTTTTAAAGGGGGGGGGATTTATTTTTAAAGATGAGCATATTTTTAAAGCCAAATAAACTGACTTTCTTAATTCATTTCTCAAAACTGGAACCCCTCTAGGTTCAACATTTCCATCAAGAGTTCACAGCACTAAGCGTGGAGATGGTGTTTGAATCAAGACTTTAAATGATCAAAAGCCTCATTGATTGTGCTGAGCTCTGATTGGGTTCTGCAACCAGCATGCTGTCTACAAGTCTGGGTCATCAGAAAGACCACTCTAAAATGTTAAGATCCTTGGTGACCCCACTAGGATTTTGATGACTAATCAAGTTTTAGAAGTAATAGAGAAGTATTCTTCCAGTGGAGAACCTGGATTGTGTAGTTCAGGGGTCAAGAAACTATCGCCATGGCCAAATCCAGCCTGCTTTTGTAAATAAAGTTTTATCGAAACACAGTCATGCCCATTTACTTACACACTGTCTATGGCTGCCTTCCTGCCACTACAGCAAAATTGAGTTGCTCTAACAAAGCTAGAAGTATTTACTACATGGGCCTTTACAGAAAAGTTTGCTATTACCCCTGCTGTATTGGAAAGGAACACGAGTAGAAGTCAGACAACATGAGTTCTAAATCCTAGATTTGCCACCCAGAACCTGCATGACCTTAGAAAAGCCACTTGATCCATCTGTGTTTCATTCTCTCTGTAATGAAGATATATACTCTGCCTTCCTCCAAGTACTGTGATAAGCACATGAGCCCATGTGTTCTGTAACCGTGCTTGTCATGCTGTAAGTTACTACATAAATGGAGCTCTTCACGTCTTAGCCTAACGTTGGCATTTTTCTTTTCCTCCTCAGAATACCTTGGAGCAGTGCAGCGTGTGCTCCAAGCCCATCATGGAGCGGATTCTCCGAGCCACTGGGAAGGCCTATCATCCTCACTGCTTTACCTGCGTGATGTGCCACCGCAGCCTGGATGGGATCCCGTTCACCGTGGATGCTGGCGGCCTCATCCACTGCATCGAAGACTTCCACAAGTAGGCAACCTACTCTCCCTCCTGCAGCCTAATTGTCCTCTTGGGGTCTATTCTTACTGCCTGTATCCGGGCTTCACACTCTTCTCTCTCCGAGCTATAGGATCTCCGGATTTGGTGGCACGTTAAAAAGAGGTTATTTATCCCCTCCTCCAATGCAGGAATTGATATTAGGTACTCCATGTGGTCCTCCAGCCTGGCCTCTGCTTCAAGACTTCCCTGGGGCTTATCCATCACATCTTTGTGTAGCTCTAATTATGAGGAAGTTGGCTTAGCCGCAGAACGTGTGTACTGGAAAGAGGCAGGATCCTGGGGTAGCTCTCCCTGGCCTAAACATGAACAAGATATGTGACAGTGGACAAATTGCCCAATTTCTCTGAGCTCTTCAGTTTGGTCATTAGACCAGACCCTGTCTTAAAGCTGCCCATCTGAGACAGCCTAGGGTTCTCTCTAGAGCTGACCTCTACGTCTTGGCCACTCTGCATATAGGAGGTTATGGGAGGGACTGGCACAGGGAACAGTTCAACCCCTCTTGCTAATGCAGCCTCTCACATATTTGGAGGCTATTTTATGCTGTTATCAGCATATTCACACCCCCTGCTAAGCTCTACCCCCACCCAGGTCTTCTCTTCCTCAGGATATTTTCTAATCTTTCGATGACGATTAAAAAGTAGAATCTTAAGGTCAAGACCACTTCACTGATGGGCCTGGAAAATTATGTCACCACTTCCTCACTTCTCTAATTTGTAGATCCCTCTTTATTATAGCTGGAGTTTTCATGAAAATTGTATAGCTTTGCATTTTGCTTATTCTTATTTGGCCAGTCTGTTGGTTAATTGGTTGATCACATTTGTCACATATTTCTAGGAACCATACGACAGCTATAGATGTGGTTTGTAAATGGCAGACACGGAGGTTTCTGGCTCGTGTTTGCTTCGCAGTGGCTTTAAGAACAGTCTGAGGCTCTCAGAGAGATGAAGCTCATATGGCTCACCAGTTTGGGTATCTGTTCTATGGCCTCCAGATGTGCAGTCTTGTGGGTTAATTTTCACCGCTCTGTTGATTGTCAACAACTGGGAGGTACTTGCCACAAACAGTTTGGGGACCTGAGATTTATATTTTAAAAAAAAAGAATTTCCTGACCACTTTTCAAGTAGCAGGGAAAGTGAAAGCCTCACCAAAAGATGTGAGGCTGAATAAATTTAAAAAACAAAACAAAACCCCAGAGGCAGGAATTCTGGACCTGAATTAGACAAGAAAGGGCTCTCTTTGAAAGGGCAGCCACAGCATAAATTGTACTTCACGTTATTGATATTTTTAGCTTCTAATTACACATGAAAAAAAAACACCTGCATCTATTTAAGGGAAGTGAAAAGATACCATTGGGGAGGGTATTTCTGTCACTGTTTCTCTCCTTTCTTAGACTTACCCTAATCCAAGAAAGACTGATAGATATAATCAGAGCACACGTTTCTGTTGCTGAAAAAGACTGATATGTTACACCCCTCAATTAAAACAGGAAATCAATTCTGACAAATGTAAGTTTATATCTATGCCATTTATCTTTCATTTCTAGGAGTGGGGAGCATAATTAGAGACTTGTGACTGGTGACATGTGTGTGGGTCTGATCACTCCAGGAAGGCAGACTTGAGCAACTGAAAGGGAAAAAGAATCTGAAACCCCCAGTGCTTCCCATCACCGCTAATTCAGTGGCCAGTTAAAATACAAATTATTAAAAATCATGTTGTCTGCATGATTGGCAGGTATGCAGGGGGAGAAGCTTTTTGATCTTTTCTCCATTTCCCAAAGAAGAATAAAAGATACATTTTACAGAACTCCGTTTCTGAGTCTTGAAAGGACTGGAATAAAAAGCAGCTACAAGTCCAACCCATTAGCCGTGTCTTAGCCATGGACATTGCATGGCTAAGAAGAGTGGACTGCAGAGAGGGGAACATAGCTGCCCTCTGCAGATTCCTGGTCATTCTGAACAGATCTCCCATTTGTGGGCTTTTGGGAGATGTATTTCAATTCTGTTCAACCACATCTATGAAGAGCCCTCTATGTGCCAATTACTGTGCTCAGTGCTAAAGGAGAGAAATTGCATAGGTAGAAATACGTAGAGAGAAGCCCCTGTCTGCATGGAGCTTGCCAGGAGGAGGGGAGAGAATAAGTGCAGATTCTGTGTGATAGGCACCAGGCAGAAAAGACTGTAAAGGTGACGATGTGAGGCACAGGCAAGGGCTTGAGCTGTCAGAGCCAGAAGATATTACTCGGCCCTGGGATCTGAGTAGGCTTCTGGAAGCAGAGTGTTTTAAATGGGAAATGGAGATTCTTGGCAGAAGGAACAACTCAGGCAATAACGAAGGGCCCAGAGTGAAGAAAGGCTCTCTGCTTTCAAGAAAGATCCGCTTGGCTGAAACTAGAACAGCCTGCGAATAGAAGCTATGGTGAGATGCACGAGGCCCAGGAGAAGGGATTTATCTCTCCTGCTTAGAAACCCGTCCTTTAAACTGGTGCTTCCCAAACTTCAGTGGGCTTACAAGTCACCTAGCGATCTTGTTAGACTGCACATTTTAGTTCAGGAGGTCTGCCTTTCTGACAGGGTCCCAGGTGGTCTTGGACTGCACTCTTGAGTAACAAGCTTTTGAAATGCTATTTTTAAAGCCTTGCTTATGGGCTGTCCCCTCCATAACTGCCATCAGTCAGGGTTGGCCCAAATCCTCCATCCTATTAGGCAGAAACCCTTTCCCATATGTCATTTCAGATGACTGCTCAAACTAGTTACCTGGCAGACTGCCTGTATCGCACCCTCACCCCCAAAACACGCACACACACACACAGACTTACTTTCCATTTCACCTAAATGGCCATCTTTCAAGGCCCAGCTCAATTTTCATCTACTCTAATAATCCTCCTCTGATCTCAAACGCTCCCTAAACCCATGTTTGAATTTATATCTCCTTCTCTATGTTCTATAGTTTTGTAAATTCGCTATAGATAGCACTTTACATAGCCTGATTAGTAAAAAAGAACACACACACACACACGCACACACACGCACACACGCTATTTTACAGTAACCCCCTTAAATCATTTTTGCAATATGGTAGGATACGTATATATGTTAATAGAACAAATGCAGAAATATATAGAACTCCCTCACCAGTGTGATTGCTGGAGTTTGAGTTTATTTCTGTATTCCCAGTGCCAGGACAGTGAGCTCAGAAAAGCAGATTGATTTAACTGACCCTTTCACTGTGTTGAGTCTTTATTCCACTATCTGTGCTTTCTTATCAGGGATGTTACATGCATCCATTTATTTGTTTACTCAGCATCCATTTGTGGATTGCCAGAAATGTGCCAGGACCCAATGATTAAGATCATCCCTCTCTGAGCTTTGGCTCCCATGGCTGTAAGGCAGCAATGATAAAAGTATTTCTTAATAATGTTTGCTATGAGTAAAAACATAAGGCTCAGGGTATAGAGTGCTTAACAAGGCTTGGCGCAACAATAAGCACACAATTTTAACCATCAGAAGTGTTTTTATCAAATTAATTTTATTATTATTGTCTGCTTAGTGAGCTGAGCCTTGAAATAGACCACCTGGGATTTTTAACAATCCTCCAAATGCCCGCCAAGGAACACAGTGGGGACGGTGGAAACCACTTCCTGTCTCTTCACTTTGCCTTTTCCCATCATAGAAATGAGGCCAATTGGTAAGAAGAAATCATTACTCAGCAAGAATACAGTCTGTGCCTTTCCAGAGAGGAACCTTGAGATTGAACATAAAGGCCTGAGCAACATCTTTTTATGCGAAATGTGGCAAATACTTCATTCCATTGGATATTGCCTGACTTTCTACCTTCTGCACCAGCCACACTAGTTATTTCTAGAAACTCAGAAATAGAGCAAATCCTGGCCTTTGGAAGCTCTCAGTTTTGAGGTCTCCAAAGATATGCAGATAATTACTGCTAAAATAGGCAATTTCAGTGAAAGATATTTTATCCTCAAGGAGTTAGTAATCCTACTTGGGGACATTGGGGAAGACTCACAGATAAAGTGATAGGCGAGACACACTTCTGACCTCACAGACTTTACAGTCCCATTGGGTTTGGGGAAGGAAATTCCGCAGCTGATTCCAGAAGGCTGCTTATTTCACTACTGACGACCCAGATTCAAAGGTAATCAAGTAGTCCAAAGCAATTTTTTTTGCCACCGAGTATGAACTTCTTGCATAAAATACCAGTTATAACAACTCTGATTACTGCCGCAATTGTACCGTGATCCTTTAAATTTTTCTTTCATAGCAATCAATTGATCTGCTGCTTAATTCATATTTATTTAGATTGCAGCCATACAGATGCCTTTTGGGTGCTGCTAGGAAAATTAATATGTACATATAGAGTATCATGTATGTAAAGATGCTTTGACAACCATAAAGTGCTCTGCAAAGAGTTAGATTACTATCATTATTTCTTTTTAAGTCTCTCTACAAATAGATAAATTTTAACATCATTAATCTTAAAACCATTACTGAGCTGCTCAGTCTTTCTTTTTTAATCTTTTCAGTTCTTATCCACGTCCGTTTCAAATCACGTCTCATTTCACACCTTCATAAAGACCACACCTAATTTCCAGAAGATACATATGGGTGCACAGCCTATATTTGCAGCCTATTAATCTGTTACGAGAAAAAAAAATGTTACGGCCATTGGTTATATTAAGGAATATTAAGAGATTAGGAAATATTAAAATTCCTCACCAAGAGTTAACCTCAAAAACATATGTATATATGTGTGTGTGTGTGTGTGTGTGTGTGTGTGTGTGTGTTGGGTGGTATATTCATATACACATACCCTTTGGAAGTTCTAAAATCCTTTGGAGAATAGAGAACTGGACAGCTTTATAATTTTTTCTTTTTAAACAAAAGTTTAACACCACCAAAATATAGGAATTGCAGATTTGGCCATAGGAAGTTTGGTATAAAGAGTATTTAAACTCGCTAACCTCTGCTGCTTTGAAAAGATACCTATTTGAGGTTTCTCGTGTTCATTCCTAGAATTCAAGACACATTTCAAAGAAGAGGCTTAATAATTGGGAATGAGGCAAAGTTACCAACCTCGGGATACTTGGGTAGGGCCTGGGGAGCACATACAAAAGTCTAGAAGCAAAAGTCAGAAACAAGTAGGGGCCTCCTTGCCTCTCTGGCTGACCTGCCCAAGCCCAGGGTTTGTGTTTGCGATCTATCCACAGGTGAATCCCACGCCACGGTAGCTCTTCATGCAGAAGCAGTTCACGCACTCACTCCCCTGCCTCACCAGATATCATGGTGTTTATCATCTAGAAGGACCTCAACAGTCACCAAGCGTGAGTCCCTTATTTTAAGCTGAGGAAGCCGACTCAAGGAAAGTGACTTTTGCTCAAGGTCACACAAGACAGCAGACCAGGTGTCCTGGCTCTTGGTTTACACCTTTTCTTTTCACCTCCAAGTCTCATCTTTTTGCCAGTGTCCATGCTCATTATCTAACCAGAACTATCTCTCCGTTTTCAGGAAGTTTGCCCCCCGCTGTTCTGTGTGCAAGGAGCCTATCATGCCAGCCCCCGGCCAGGAAGAGACTGTCCGGATTGTGGCTCTGGATCGCGATTTCCATGTTCACTGCTACCGGTGTGAGGTCTGTGGTCAGTGCCCCCTCACCCTGCCAGGCCCACTAGGGCCGGATTTTCATAAATATAGCAATTATTAAATCTGGGGGAGCCCCTAGTGCCTGTGTTCATGGGACTTGTGTTTTACAAGAGGCCTGTAACCCAGGCTGGAAGTGACAAGGGAAGCCTCTTGGCCGAGGGCCATGTCTTCATTTATACAGCAAAGGGCAGCAAGTCTTTCTCCTCTAATCTGGGTATGAAAAGGTATAAAATCATTCAGAGAATGATTTTAAAACATTTTCTTATCGTCCTATGACTTACCCAGAGCCCCTCTTTGAAAGCACTTTTCTTGTTTGCTATTAGCTCTCCTGAGTGCAGCAGTTCGCATTAGCTGTCTGCGAGAGATAGTATGAACTTCTTTATTACCACGTCCTCATGAGATTGGCTCTTCTAGTCCCACGAGGAGATTTTCCCAAGACACAGGCTGGTGGGGCTGGCAGGGTGGCCCCTGCTCTCCAGGACTGCAGTCATTCCATTCACCGCCTGAGCTGTAACGACCACCTGTTTCATGCAGTGTGCTCTGTTTGGCCCTACGTGCTTCTCTCTGGCCTTCACATGAGCAAAGAGAATAAAAGACTTCCAGCTTTTACACTAGGTTTTATGACTAAAGAGAAACGGTGTCCTCTCCTCCATGCTGTATCCTTTAGAAAGTACAGCAGGTCATTTCCCTCTACCCCCTGCCCCCAAACCTTAAGATTTTATTTTCTTTCTAAAGTTGGAATAAGTAAGTAGAGCCCGTTGGTGGCCCTTCTGCTTAGCATGAGTCACTCTACAACTTAGCTTCTGCCCTGGAGTTACCAGGAGATTCTGTCCCTGCACCTGTATATTACTTTTGAGAGATCCTTAAATTAATGATAAACGGCAAAGATGAATTAATGATTTGGGATCTATTCTTGTTTTATTTTCTCTTGCGTTTGTTCTCGTCGTTTGGGTGAGGGGAGCAAAACTACTAGTTGGGAGCCTAGACCCTCAGGTTCTTCTTTTCCTGTACCTGTATTTCCCATTAAGTGATCTCAGGAGGGCCATTTCACCCTGTTCGTATTGATGTCCCCAGTCTCTACTTAAGCTTAACGCAAGGCATAGCATGTTCTGTCCTGCAGAAGGAGTTGAAGGGGCTGGTGGTGCATGAAGAGGAAAGGTAGTGGTTGGCCTCATTATGGAAGCCTTGAATGGAAAGCAAAGGAATTTGTTTCCATTTTTACTGATATCCTTTCCATCTGTCTTCCTTCTTCCAGGATTGTGGTGGTCTCCTGTCTGAAGGAGATAACCAAGGCTGCTACCCTTTGGATGGACACATCCTCTGCAAGACCTGCAACTCTGCCCGCATCAGGGTGTTGACCGCCAAGGCTAGCACTGACCTTTAAATCCAGTCACCTATTTAGCGGTTAGTTGGTGGCTCTGAGAAGGATGAAACACAAGAAAAATATAAGAAGAGAAATAGGAAAAGAGAGGAAAGGCAATCAAGCTATGGGATGGTCTCTACTTCATCCACTATTAACCTTCCTTTAGAAACACATAGAGTATGAGATGTTTTAAAGTTCTTACCAAATACACATTTCACATTTAATCATGTAGGACCTTGATGGGCCTTTGTTCCCAAGGACTTGCACATTTTTGCACGGATTATGCTCCATCCCATTCACTTCTGCATTCCTTTAACTTTTAATCCCTATGTTTGTCTCACTTTTCATCTGGTTGAATGGCTTTTTTTAGTGTGGTATTTGCTGTCACACAGCTTTTCCTGGGTGAGTTTGCCAACTCACAGGTGCTTTTAGGCTTGAAGGCTCCATCCTATCACTTCCACATTGCCAGTGAGCATAAAAGATAGCCATTCTTTTTCTGTGTATTGAAAAATAGATCTTTCTGTTGCTCTAAACTAGTCGTGTCCCTTGGGGAAAAAAATGCACAATTATATGTCAGGCTATAAAAAATTTAAGCTGTAAATTACATAGGTTAAAAGAAGCCCGCATTGAATTTGCAGCCATCCTAATTCAAAATCTATAATGACCAGTGTTTGGGGCTCATTTGAAAACAGATACTGGTGAGAGAGAACCAAACTTCAATATTTTTCTAAAGAAATTACAGATAGGGTATGCTGGATAAAGCATTTTGGGGTTATATTTGAAAAACTCATTATTACCCCAAAATATTATCTTAAGATTTTCCTTTTCCATGCTACCTGGACATAATAATATGGACAAACTTGGTTTTCTCTAGAATATAACATTTCCAATACTGTTCTGCTTTTCATGTCAGAAATATTGCCTTTTTTTTTTTTTTTAAATATCCAAACACAAGTACCAAAATTGACTTTTTCTCTAGAGGAAAATAGCTATAAAGAGCAGTTTAAAAAAATTTTTTTTCTAGGCCCAGGTCCTTTTTGCCTGACAGTTGCAAATCAGGGCACATAGAATCGTGTTAGTTTTGTGTAGTTTACTTTAAAAAGACAGGAAAGCTTGAAAAGATTGTGAAACCACAGTCTCATTATTCTTATAATCCTTCTGCAACTCAAATTACATACTGCAGAAGACATTTTCATATCATCGATGTGACATTTACACCACACTTTCAAAGACAATCACTGAAAAAAAATTGCCTTTTTGAGCTAAAAATATGCAGAGTCTCTGCCTAGAATCTTTATTCAAACTCTTATTGGGCAGTGAAATGCTTACTTGCCAGCTCCAGGACCGCATATACTTTATTACGTTTTAACATGTTTCTTTTAAGGAAGGACACTTCTCTTAGTAGCAGGTTACCGTTTTGTAAACTAATTAAGTATCTTGGATTAAGATTAGTTAAAACTTTCTTCAAATTTTTCACAAGTATATACTTTTAAATTATGAAGTACTTTAAATATAAACAAAAGTATAAATAATAATATAATGAATCTCTGTGCCACCCAGTTTAAGAAATCAAATATAACAAATATAGCTACATTCCCCTGTATACCCTTCCCTGATTCCACAGATATTTTTTCATGATTAGAAAGTGACAAAGTTTTCTAGTCTGACTTTTGTATCTAATTTTTAATTTTAACGCTCAGAAATGAAAAATTGTGCGTGTTTTGAATTGCAACCCAGGCCTCAAGAGTCCCAATTAAATTTATTTTACTTTAGCAGGAATAATCGTAAAGGTGGTTGATTTTTTTTTTTTTCTGTAAGAAATTCTTAAGCTTACAGCTCTTCTGAGTTAATCTGTGGCTCATTTGCTTTGGTCCCCAAACGGTCTTGTTTTAGAACCACCACAGTTACAGCTTTTCAAAGGGTCCTTTGACCCTTGACTGTCCTTTCCTTACCTTGCTGCCCTTATCCTTGATCTCACATTTCTCATAATGTGAAATACAAGGGGTCCACTTCGGGCAGCATATGAATTTTAGGATACAGTGGCAACTGTATCTCTGAATTTCTGTCTTCCAAATGAAAGGCCAGACCATGCGGATGATCTCAAAGAATACTGACTATTAGACAATTGAGGTGATAATGATAGTATAATCTGCTCGAATTGTTTCAGTAACTTGTTTTCTATGAAATACTTGGGGGGAAATTGTCTTTTGGTCAAAAGCAAAGAGCCCAGTTTATTGAGAGGTAGATTTTATCTCTTGAAGTGCAGTCCTATTAGTATGAATTGGATTTTATCTCTTGGAGTGCAGTCCTATTAGTATGAATTTTGCCAAAGGAGGGAGAATTTATGAAATATTTAGACTATAAAAATGCAATAACATTCTACTTGTTTGTTACATTTAAGTCCTTATGTAACTGAATGTTTACATGCAAAAAAAAAAAAAAGAGAGTAATAAAAAAATGCTTTCACAGACCCCTCACTGCGGCATTGCCAGAATACTGCTTGCTTACAATCTTTATAGTGCATTTTTATCACATAACCTCAGAGTATCTTTACCAAAGATTTTTAAAGTAAATCTCTTTTTAATATAGACTTATCATACTTTTATAATAATGAATGTGCACACCTACATATATAGATATTTAGATTTAGATTTTTTTTCTTTCACAAGGTATAATAAGGAAAGGATCCTAAAATATTTTATTTCGGGATTTCTTAAATATATGATTTATATTGCTTTCTTATCTTCTCTTAATCATTTGGTGTCAGCAATGCCAAATCACGTTTTACTGCTTTAGCTACATGAAATTTTGCCTATAACAGAGATATAAAGATCTAATACCTTAAGGATTATAATTCTACTGTCTTTTGATATATTGTCTTGATTGTTAATCATTTAAATACATAAGTAATAGAAAAGAATCACAGAGTCTATAAGAGAAAGTTTGTAAAAATATACTGGCTTTAAAAAAAATTGTCAAGAACACAAATATTTGGTAATTTTATGTAACATGAGAGACATGGAAAAGGAAAAAGAAACCCACTGTGTCTTGGGCTCTGCAGACGGTTTCATAGTTAGATTTCTCCATTGCCTGGATCTCCAGCTCTTGGCGACTCAGTGTGGAGTCTCATCTGCAAACAAATCGGCCTTTAAAACTCAAAAATAAGTCATGTGTCCCAGCAAAGTGCATCAAGACGTTGAGATCCTGAACATGTCTGCAGCTCAAAGATGTGGGTTCTTCTTTCTTTCATTAACAAATTGTTTCTGTAAGAGCAACTTCTCTGATCAAAATTACTACATTGAGTGCATGCTGGTTAACACAGTGGAGATACCAACAGTATAATGGTTTTCTCACTATGACAGATTCTGCAGAGATGTTTGTGATGATGTTTCAAGCATATAAAACTCTCAAGTGTGTTATATTTGGGTCCCAGGGGGAAAAGAAGAGCATTTTACCATGGGGCTATAGTAGAGGGTTTATGGAATATAGACAGGACTCTGAAAACACAACTTCCAACAGTTTTCCTAGTTAGTAAAAATCCTATTAATGTGAACCAGCCAGGAGTAACAGTGTTATTTCTATTTGATATGTTTTGGGCTTCTCTTGTCAAATCTGTGTCGGCTGCCCCTTGATCCCTCCATTATCAAGTTTTGCAGGGTGTTGGGGAAGTTATGGCAGCTGCCAGGGAGATCAGGGAAACACTGATGTAACCTCACAGCCTCTCACCATTCCTCTTGGCTTGGAAAGGCTTTTTTTCCATATACATTTCTAGAAATATTGCTATTCTACCTTAGTATTTCACATTTGTAGTTTAAACAAGCGATTGTCCATCTGTTGCCTAGAGCTACAGTACATGTGTGTTATGAATGAAATATGACAGCATGTTCCATACCATGCTTTAGCCATCTGTAGGAAACCAGGAGGCTGGAAAAGATATACCTCTGCAAAATGTGCCTCAAGTTCATTTCCTGAGATCGCTCTTTTGGTGCACTTTCATGGGAGACGATCAGAGAGCAACATGTATTTGTGCCTTATTTTTAAAGAATCTTTACACTACTATGAATGCTCCACTGAAGAGTCTGTCACTTAAATAACCATCCCCAAATCTCCAAGATATACTCATCAAAAAGTCAAAAGCCAGAGAAATCTCTTCATCTTAATGTATTCTAACAGTATTTCTGTTCTCGCCATCTCTTAGAAGTACCTTACGGATTCCTAAATTAGGTAAACATTCTTGTGCCACGAGGTGATGCCTTGGGTGTCGTTAGTGACTTAGTGGTCTTACTCTCGTTTTAGTTAGATGATGAAGAAAGACTTCCACGTGAGCCTTTAACACCTATTCAGCATGTCCACTTTTTGTTTAATTGCCACAATTTTTTTGTTTGTTTTTTTTAATTTAATAGTGTACAGAACAAGTTGAGGATCTTGGTTCTGAGTCATTGTTATGGTGCAATCGTGAACATTTCAGGTCAAGTTATTTCCTTGACAGATAACTTTTCTCATGAAGCTGTTGTTTAGTTCGCTTATATTTCAACCTTTAAAAAGTGATCTGATTAAAGCTGTGTGGCGTGGTGAGAGTTCTTCCTCTCTCTCTCTCTCTCTCTCTCTCTCTCTCTCTCTCTCCCCACCCCCACCCCCGCCTTGTCTCCCTTCTTATTCCTTCCCATTCCTACTCATTAATGCTATCGTGCTTGGACTTTTCATAAATAAGTTAAATCAATGCATTACAATCCATATGGAATTATGATCATATTAAAGGAAGAATTGTGCCGCAAAATATATGTGTCATCCATCAATTCTTTCTTTAAAAGTGCCTATTTTTCCAGATTGTGTTTATTCATAAAGTGAGGTGAGATAATAGAGTCTTTCAGTTTTATTTTAATGAGTTTTCATCAGGGACTCAGATCACAGAGTTCTTGGCAAATTCCTTTATGACTGGCCTACTTTTCTCAGCTATAGGCAAAGTGATCTTTCTAAGACTAGGTTGAGATTTTTTTTTAATCCAAAGCATTTTGACCAACAAAACAATCATATTTTTAAGTGGTGGCATGTTATTTTAGATCAGTGAAACTTGAGAGTTTTCCTTATGGCAGGGGAAAGCTATTACTCTTCTGGAATTTTTACACATATCAGCATTTTTCCCATGACAGTAATATTAAACCCTAATACTTGAATCACAGTATTTTGCAGGGAGCAGGTCAGCAACAGAGTTTTTCCTGAAGCATGGATTACAGACCTGTAGTCTGTTTATAAAAAGCAACCTGAGAAGAACAATCTGGGTCTTTCGGTAAAACATTGTCTTAAAATGAGTCTGAGATTCTTTTGAACTCTGGCTAATACTGATCAAAACATGCCTTCTGTGTCCATTTTTTATAAATTTGTTTAGGAAAAGCTTATAATTCTAGGACTGTATTTCTATTTTGGGTTTCTGCCCTTCTGTTTTCTACAAGTCGATCTTGATTTTCCTTTTTAGGAGGGTCACAGATGAGGAAAGTAAAAGCATAACTAATACATACGTAATTCAATACACAAATGAATTGGCCGAGAATTAATGATAGTCTCAGTGAACGTGTTGTTTTGATAAACAGGCAGAGGTTTTGGGGGTTTTTTTTTTGGTTTTTTTAGTTTTTTTTTTTTACCTGTCTCCAAGAAGAGAGGGCTTTGGTGGGGAAGGAGGAATTTGAGAGAAGGGGCAGGTCACAATTTAAACAATAAGATTCTTGTACAGTGTAACTCAGAATTTTCATAGGGGTTTTAAGGATTGGCAATTGTAGTTTTTTAAACAAGTAAAATATTTATATTTCCAAGTTTAGGAGGTGTTTAAAAATCACTATGGCTAACCATGTATTTTTCCCTTGTCAGGAGAGAATTAAAATGGGAGCTGCTTCTCAGCCCCATGGCATGGCCATAACTACACGAGACTTTTATAATACATGTCATTTCATCCCTCTGTGAGAGGGCCATAGCTCGTTCTCTTTGTGACAGATGGCAATGCATATTCTTACGCAGTCTTAGTTAAGCTGTACTACGCCCTAAGCATCTCCGAAGGTTAGAGGTTTCTATTTTCACACATTCAATATTTCATCCCTTCTGACGTACTTACTTGGTGAGCACGGTAAGCAGGCGTTGTTTTGGTCTGTGGGCCTCTTATTCAAATCCAGTCATCCACGTCCTGTACGGCCCTGCCTAAACAGCCGTGCTAGAATTGATTTGTACTGCCTTTTTCCTTTTTAGTTAGAAGCACAGAAAACTAACTTTAGCTTACTAAGTTCAAAGAAGAAATACAAAATGGCACATTTTTCCTTCAATATAGAAAGGAAAGACACTTACTCCTTTACCTCTTTTATTTTCCTGGACCCTGTGCAAAAAGTTGTAGACTCTATAATTTTGTTATCCAACATGCGTGGGGCTTATTTTGTGGGAAGTTGTGTGGAAGATGCATTTTATTAATAAACTCAGTGACTTTTCTCCCGTGAAGTTACAAAAAAAAAAAAATGACTAAAATCTTCGCTCTTTATTCCTGATTGTTACTTAATTTACAGCAGTTTCTAACCACACTAATAAATATCTCTTATCCTAGCCCTTGTTATAAGCACAGATTTTGTAGGATTCTACAAGCAAAATGTTATGTATACTAGAAAGATGAGGGAAACCGACAGCTAATTCTTTTGTAATACCTTAAGATGGTTACATTAATCCTTCCCTACTGTGTGCTTGCTACTTTTTCCAGGATACTTATTCACTTATGGGCAAGAGAAAACATCATGCATCTAACTCTGTTAGACATTTACCTAATAGGCCCAAATAGAAGTCTTTATTAAATGACCCACAAATGCAATCAACTTGGTACTGAACATAGCTTCTAAATTCAGTGTTCAACCCCAGGAATAGAATGACCTACCAAGACTGAGACAGGTTTCATTATGTCATCTTGTGTTCTACACCAGTGTAGAGGGCTATAGCTGACCCCAAGCCACCAGTGTAGAGGGCTATAGCTGACCCCAAGCCCCAGTGCTGTTCCTAGACAAATCATGCGTCCTTTAAGGATCTGAATCTCCCGTTATTTTCCTGACAAGTCTCCATTTCACATCTTCTTAGAGCTGGCTAGTATGTAGTAGTATCCATGGCAGTCCCTTCTACCACTGGGGCAGCTTTTTTCTACAAAAGTTCTTCCGTGTTAAACAAAACTCTGGCTCTGGAGCTATGCACAAGAAGTCTAATGTCTAATGTCTAAATCGTTGCCTCTAGGTCAGATATCACTAACTCTTGCAACTTTTCCTCATTGATTGACATGGTATCAAGTCCAATCACCCTCTTGCTTCTCCTTTGAACAGTTGGACCCAACAATATTTTCTAATTTTGTTTCAATCTACTTGGTGAAATGTGGCCAGCCCTTTGGGTCAGGCTAGGTAAAAACACTTTCTTCGGGGTTGAAAGTAAGTGGAATTGGAAGCATCCAAAGGAAACTGATAATTCGATGTGGAAACTTCCCCCAAGGACTCAGACCCAGGAGAGTGAAAGCTTGATGAGGATAGATCTCCCATGTGTGCAAAACAGTCCTCTTACACTATGTCCTTTACTGTTTTTGTTGTTACCAAAAAGTCAAAAGAGGAAGTGAGCTAGTTAGTATATATGTCACCCATAAGACTCCCACTTCTTGGTCAATGTTCATAAATTCTCTTCAACCCTTTCCCTTTGTTCTTGTCTTCTCAAGAATAAGACATTTCTTGTCCATGTTCCCATACTGAATACACAAAAAGAGTCCTGGGCTCTTTATAGGTTCCACATAAATATTTCTGGCTGGTTGGCTTTTGAGGTTTGCTTTCATTCGTCTGGGCTCAAATGTTAGTACCTATAGATGTTGCACTCTAGACCAAGTGAGCAGCTTCCCCACTTGCTCAGTTAAGAACTACCCTTAGGAGTCCGTGTTTTCTCTATCCTTTTGTCTTTCTAACATCTTTACCCCTTACTCATCTCCTCAATGTAATAATCACTTTAAGGGAATCAGCCCCTAAGTAACTCTGATTGAAGCTAACTGCAGTAAAATCAAATAGGTTCAGTCTGCACTCCACAGGAAGGAATATAGCTTCAGGAAAGGTAATTCTCCCCGGTGGTATCAGTAAGGCTTCATGGAAGAGTGAACTTTGTTAAGGAATCTTGGTTCATTGGCTTGATTTAGAAGTTTAGAGAAGAATATTGACGACACCAGAAACAAAAAGAAAGCATAGGTTATGTTCAGAGAAGACCTTCTGCTTTAAGGATCACAGATTCTGGAATATCCTTCACAGGAGAAAACGCTTCCAGATACTCAAGGTCAGTGAGAAGGGAAAAGCATAGAGCAACATTGATTCAGTTTGCTTTTTCATCTCTATGTAAACGTAAGATGGGATAAGTTATCAAATTATAATCCAACCCATACAGTATCAACAGGAATCTTTTTTGATAACATACAAAATGCACATTTGCATTAGCTCATAGCTCTGTACTCCACTCTTACACCAAACACCCCACATCTTTTGAGCCCACGAGGCAATGAGCAGGACACCTCTATTTTCCTATTACTTCTAGGTCCACAATTGGAAAGGACTCCACATTCTTCTATCCCACTTGGTGTTAAAATTCCCTTATAGATTTCTTGTTAAGTGATAATCCAGACTCTGCTTAGCATCACCTGCATCAAGGAGCTCATTACTTCTTAAGCTCTTCCATTTCCTCCATCATGCTTTTTTCCAAGCTCCCAGAAACAGCCTTTTGGGCTTAGGTGCTCCTTGGTGCCACACAAAAATCATCTTTAGTACATAATAAAGTGTCGCTTCCTGCCTCTGTTTTCCTTCCAAACATATTTTGCTTTTGGCAACACATTACTTTACAAAGAATAAACTTTGATTTTTTTTTTTTTAGCTGAAGATTATAAAAACCTTTAAACATCCTTAGAAATAGTCTGAAGGGTTTTCTGAGGGTTAGGTTTCAGAGTATGAGTTTGGGGTTGCTGTTTTTACTTTCTTACTCAAAAGACAAACTGTTCTGACCGTTGTTCTATAGCTTCATGCCTTCCGCCAGTAACTAACCCATGAAACCCTCTCCTGTTATTCATTCTGCTGATAATGACCTTAAAATGTTGGGAGATGTCAGCGTGCGATCTCCACTTCTAACAAGGAAAACGTCAAAAGCAGAAAATACTGGTTCTATTGAAATGCATCACCTCTGGCCAGTTGTCCTTTGCGAAAGGAAGGAGGCTACATTGTGTCATGGTTTTACATAGGAACGTATACATTCTTTCCATATTGTCCCGAGTTACTATTTAGTGTCAATACCATTCCTCGGTCTTTGGGAGGACAAGGCTTGCAGCCCTTCCACCCCAGCCTTAAATTCCAGAGTCCTATCGGCAGAACCTGTCATCAGGCTCCTGGGCAGGACCCGGAGGTGGCTTTCTGAGCTCTGAAATAATAATTCCTAAGAGAGCTTACAAACTGCTTTCACACATAAAACAGCCCTGGGAGGAAGGTTATTAATAGCCCTATCCTAGAAGAGAAAGCTGAGGCTCAGAATTGTTAAGTGACTTGCCAAAGTGATAGAGCTGGTAAGTGGTAGATTTGGGGACATACCCAGGTCTTGCAAGTCCAGTGCTCTCTCCAGTGGCCGCTCTCAGGGTACAAAATACCTCAGAGCACGCTGTATGCTTCTCACAGACCACCGTGCCCCCTGTTTGAGGGCATCCAAGGAAATTCATTCACATAGGTTACTCAGCTATCAGGTGGCAGAGCCATGTGCGTACTGCGGTGTTTGAGATCATTTAGAGCTTGCATGCATTTTCTGTGTCATCTTGTGGGCAACCACTAGGTATTCTGATTGGCAGTGTGATGGAGCCGGTGAGGAAGGGCCACCGCTGAGAACAAACACTGTGGCACTGAAGTACACTGCAGCAAATTTCCCCAGAGACCGTGGTTTACTTTACATTAACTGAAAAACTCTGGAACTGTGAGGTTCCGTTTATCAACCAAGACCATGTCATTTAGAATCCAGTGGCATGCAGAAAGAAGTGACTTGACCCTTAGGACGATTCTCCTGTGGGCTACGATTTACGCCCCACAGAGGCAGGAACTGCTGTAGGTAAACAATGCATATTCTTCTCTCAGTTCACATTTATCGAGGCCCACCAAGTATATGTCACAGCATCAGGCATTTCCGAGCCAGCCAACCGACCTTGACCTTGAAATGTCTGTGAACAAATGCGATGGGATTGACTGCCGTTCTGCGACTTGGCTTTTGCTACTTGATAGCCTGGGCTTATACCCAGCTGTGGTCGTTTTGTGATTTGTGTGTGCTGATCATGAGGCGTTTGGTGCTCTGTTGTTTCCAGCCTACGTACTTGGAAGCCTGCGTGTATATTCTCGAACCTGCTCTACGTGGCATTTCAACAACTGGGCATGCCTTCTCTTGAGCTGCATCCCTCAGGAAGCTGTGCCTTTTGAGGTGTGCTCTTGGGTTTTCAGTTCCTCCCATTTCTCATTACAGCTGTTTGGCTTTAAGTTAAAATCTGTCCACTGATTGAAAAATATCTTTCTTCATCTGAGTTAAATCTACTGCAGGGAACCTTTAAAATGAGCTTATCTAATAAGCTTTCTAGGCGTTTTCCCTCCCTAGAGTCTTCCATCCATCAAGCTGGTCCCATCATCCCTCTGCTGAATTCCCCGGGATTAATAAGGGCCAAGTTAAATAACAAACGGCCTCTCACCCCTTTCCAGTCTTCACACCTGGGAAATACAGGCGGGGCCGGCGGGGCCAGCAGGCGAGTCTCCTTGGCTGAGATGTCAATTTAGACACTGGAAAGGTGGCTGATCTTGCCGTGAGGTTTGATTAATGTGATGACTGATAGAGTGGAAAATGATTTCTCGTAGAATAACAGGTATAACCCCCACTACAGGAGTGGAGTAGCAGAAGCAGCATTCTGAGAACTTATCAGAATTATCTGGGTGAGTACGCCTGAGCCAAGACTCACTTGGGTAGAAACTGTGGTGTCTTATTAGAGGGAATAAAAGGACGGTGAAGCTGTGAATATGAAAAAGCAGCCCTTTAAAATAATCAAGGGAGCCACAAGCTCTGATTTATCTTTACATAATGTAAAGGAAATTATGAATGCATTTTTTTCTTCCTCCACTGTACACAATATTACCCCCCATGCTTAGGGAAAATACAATTGTGTTGTCCTCAAAACGCTCATCCATGCACGTGCTTGCACACAGACGGACACTCACTCTCTTACACACACACGCACACACACACATGCAGACATCTTCCAAGAAGGCTGATCCTTCAAAAAGGAAATCTTATTTTAAAACACTTGGATTTTTCAGGCCAAGAAACTAATAATTCCTAGACCTGGCCCATTTTAGTGACTGCTAAAAAAGAAAAGAAAAAGCTATTTAAATTTTGTATGCATCCATTTATCTCTTAAAATATACCAAAGCACTTTGAGGTGAGGGTGGAGACTAAGGTATTTATCTCTGCTGCTTGAGGCTCTCTTTATATTTCTACCTGTTGGGAAAAGGGTAAGAACTATTCTTGGGCGATTATTTGATGCATTTGTGTTGCCACCTTGTAGGGTGCCTGCTTTGCTTCCTACCGAGGCATAAGAATGAGTTGTTTTTTTGACTCCTTTTCCCCCATCACGAGGGAGTAAATATTAAAGCCTGAATGTCTTCCCTCACCAAATTATTTCAGTCCATTTCTGAGCTAGTTTAGAAAGTGCACAAGGGGAAGAGCTAGCTTTTCCGGGATATACGTCTCCATTTTTCTTCTTTCTTGGGAGACAAATATAAAGGGAAGAAATCCAGTTTCTTTTCATCTCTCTTTCTCTTTGGGTGACAGTTGACGATCCCTTAGTGATTATAAACCAGAAGTAGGTGAATAGCTTAGCCAGGTTATGATGTATCTGCCAACATGCTTCATTCCTTCAAATACAGACTTTGAGAGGAAAAGGGACTTTATCATTTAAATGCCAACAATAGGAATGGCCTCATATTTTAACTTTCAAACAGTAAAAGGTGAGTTGATGTTTGGGCAGTGTTTGCATTTTACTCACCCTATGTGCCTTCTGCTTTTAGTTTTTAGATGAATGTCATTACATTAACATATCAGGGCGAAATTGCCCAAAAGTGTTAAAGTGCCTTGGACCTTCCTCACTGGGTAGCGAGTTGAAACTGGGATAAACCGTACCAGCCTTCTTACTTAACTGAAATATCTGAACTGAGGTGTATCCTTGATGAAAGAGATTTAGGACCCTGGAAACTAAATCTTGTCACCCACCATTAGCTTCTATTTAACTAGTTGCCAAATCATTTTTAAATGACTTTCTTCCTTTTAGTACCCATTTTTTTTCTCTTGGGAAAGCTGATGAGCAAATTATCCAAGAATTATTTCTTATTAAACAAAGTCAGAATATTTCCCCCCCAAAACTCTGAAGTAGTCCTCGTTCATTTTCAGGAGACACATGAAAAAGCAAATAGAATTAAAGATGGCATCGATTGTCTGATTATTTAGCATGAATAAAATTACGCCATTTAATGTGCCTTCAGTGAAAATTTAAACTAAATGCAAAACTTTCACAGCAGGGTGCAGTATTGAACTTTTGCCTTTTGGTATCCATGCAATTAATTACTTGTTTTGTTTTGCCTTTTAAACTTTACCTTTATCATTCTTTATCATTAGTTAAACAGATTAGGGGCTTTCTCTTTCTCTACTGGGAATATGTGCAATTATGAGATGCACCCCCCAAAAAAGGAAGGGAAAAGAAAGAACTTTCGGGTTGCAAATCTGTGGCTTGAAGTAGACGTGACATGAAGATGCAGAGCCGGAGGAGAGTAATTTTCTCTGAGCCGTACACACCAGCTTTTATTTCATGGCTTTGTCACAGGCTTTTCTCCTTCTGTGCTGTCACCTTTGAGAAAAACGATTGCACCTTCTCCAAGTCTGCCTTTTAACAGCTACAGTTGAGTTGGCAAGACTTCCCCGGCTCTGAATATAGCCATTTGCCAACTCCGGCCTCTTTGCGAGACTGACTCAAATCTGTGATCTTCTGTTCAGCATACACATCAGCAAAGTGAGAAGATGAGCACTAAATATAGGCTCTGTTAACCTTACTTTTAGATTTACTGCCTTCAAAAAAAGTGCCTATTCTGAGAAACATAGACGTTATTCCTACATATGTATGTACACACGGTACCCAGAGTCATACCGTGCAGCCTTCAAAAACATACCATCGAAAGGAGTAGGTGCTAAGATAAGGAAACCTTGCCAAATGAAAGTCCCTCGTTTCCAATATCCCCTCCCAAGTGGCACCGTGAAACAGGCTGCAAGCACATTCCCTGAGCATTCCTTGCTGATACAGCCACTTTATATTTTTATCCTACTGGGTGGTGGCATGTTGCTGAGGTTTCCTGTATCTACTTCAAGGGAATATATTATGCTTTATGGAACTGGAACATTTAGTCAGGAAAAAAAATTGTTTAAGGGAATTAATGAGCCAGGGTCTGTATTAGGATATGTGTCGTATGTGTGTTTTATAAACTAAGCATTGGTGAGCTTAGAATGTCAGCATACTGCTTCTCCTTTTATCTCTCAGGCTAACATCAGTGAAAACTAAAGAAAAGTCTTGGCTCTGAGAATTGGAGGCTCAGGGGGCCAAAGGCCCTTGCCAGATCCTTAGAGCATCTTTACTTTGACTCCTAAAAATAGTAGCCCATGTTACTTAATGGCTTTTGTTTCCATGGTTCTGTCACTGACACTGTAACTGTAGATATTGTCGATGGAGCGGCAGCTCAGCCTAGAAAGTTGGATTCTTACCCAGGTGTGGCAGTAGGAGAGGCTCTGGACAAATAGGAAGAGGTAGACTATGCACGATTTTAGGAAAAGGGTTGAAGGGAGGACGTGCTTCCAAAAAAGATCTTTCTCAATGTGTCGTCTGACTCAACCAGCTGGCAAATTACACTTGCCAAGTCGCTCTCTTCCCAAGTCAGTTGGCTCCACATTCACTTGATTCTGCCTCTGCTTTGGGAAGGCAGGATACCTCCATTTAGCCTTTCCCCAAGGAAGCTCTTGGCATCCTCTTGGTCACAAAGTTGTCTCCTATGCCACCTAGTTTCACCAAATGGAAGTAAAGGGGGACAAGCAATAGAAGATGCTTCCCATGCCCTTGAAGTCAGCCACCATTCTGCTTTCTAGCTAAGGGGCTCCACTACTTAAACTAGGGAGGAGGGCGGAACGGATCACGGTTTCATAATTTCCAGAGTGTGGACCACCCTTCCTTAGTTATCATTTTGTGAGACCACTTGTCTTCTTGGAGAAAGTGATACTCTTCACTAAAACTGTCTACTCTTCCTGGTGATTTTCTTGTTCTGTTTTTACTTTATTCAGTTTCACACTAGTCATTTTCTTTTTTATAGAGAATCAGATGTTAGTACTAGATAAGAGTTCAATCTCTGTGTGATGTCAAAAGGGGCATTGGGATACTACAGAGTTTTTCCTCCTTGGAAACAAGATGGACTGGGAAAGAGACAGCATGGCTTTGCTCTAGGTTTCAATCTGATTGTGACTATGAGAGAGTTTTATGTAATGTTAAATGGTATTTACAAGTAGACAGATCAAGGGAAAAGGGGGAGAAACCAGGTTTTCTCTGTGCTAAATGTGTCGAAGAACAAGAACTTCTTACTAACTAAATACAATTATAGACCCATCATGATCAGCTGTGAGTCTGAATAACATTCTCTGACTTAGGGGGAGCCAAACACACACACACACACACACACACACACACACACACACACACATGTATAGGGAATATGCCTTTTTTCACATGTATGATACAGAGCCGTGGTATTCCCAAAATACAGATTTCTCTTTTTTATTCTTAGCAAATTGCATCTCTCCACTACATCATGAACCATCACTGACATATCCAAAATAGCCCTCGTGGTTCCTTATGAAAATAAGAGAATAAAACCTGTTATAAGCAAGTGATTTGGGTTATTTTCTTTTGTTTTTATACATTACCAACTATATTAAATCGTGTTTCTATTTACCTTCTATCAATTTTTTCCTATCAATTATGTTTTTCCAAGGCTCTATAAGAATAAATACGAAAATCATATTCCTTTTTTTTCTGTAAAAGAATTGCAACTACTTTATTATATTTAGAAATCCAATAAAGTTATTACATTTACTTGCCTATGTGTGGAATTCTTTTTGAGTTGGATAATCCCTGTCTCCTTTCTTCTAACCTCTTTAACTGTGATTCATTTTTTTACATCATTTGCTTTCCATATGGTCCTCTGAGAAAGGCAACGTCTCTCAAAGCAAATATGATGCCAACAAGAGAATGAAGGCACCCACTCTTCTCCACTGTTAGCACAGAAGATCTTAAGGTTAGATATGTTCAGGAATTACTTGACCACTTTGTCTTAAACTTTCAAGTAAAGAACTTTCCCCTTTTAAGTTGGATCCAAATAAATCAGTTCCTGGGGTGGGGGGCGGCAAATGGAGAGTTCTCCACTCACATCACTGACGACTGGCTGACTTTTCACACTTTTATTCCACCTGTTTTATGCATACTTTTCCAATGCTGAGAATCTACTCTGTGCTAGGCTCCTTGAGGGATACAGATATAAATCAGACGTAAGTCCTGCTTTCAAGAAGTCTCTAGTAAAGCTGACAAACAACCATGGTAAGAAGACAGGAAGAATCAGACACTTGGGAGAGTATAAGTCAGCATTTTCAAAACTTTTCATTATTTATCACATCATTTTTAATAGCTCTGTGATCCGGAAGGATTTTTGCCCACATTTTATAGATGAATATGCTAAGAATGTGAGAAATAAAGTTAACAATCCCAGATCACCATTCGTTCACTGAACACTCATTTTTAACTTTTTAAACAGATCTACAAGAGAACCCAGTACCCTGACCCCTAGTCCAGTCTAAAACGTAAGAGTGACTAGAACTAGAGGGTACACGAAACTCCTTCCCACTTAGGCTTTGGGTTTTATCTCTCCAACCTCATGTTTCAGCCTACTAATGCTGAGGGGTCTGAGAGCTCTGCAAGAGGCCGCCATTTTCAAAGGTACCAGACACAAGGTGTGTCTTTGAATTAACAAATGGTAGATACATCACTGGGGCTCGGCGTATTCGTAACTTCTTGCCAGAAAGCTGTAAACAGAGAAGGGCATGTAACACGTAACCTTGCCTTTCCTTTCCCTATTTTCCTCAAATTACTCACTTTATGTTCTTTGGCCCCCTTCTGCTTTGTTTTAACACTGCACATATATTTATTTGCCCCTATTCATCAAATGTGAGAGCTAGAAAGGGCAAACAGAGAGCATGTTCTCTGATTTTGTGAGGAAATACCAGGTCCCAGAGAGAGGAAAGAATTTACCTAAGGTCACAATGTAATTTAATTACAAGGCTGGATCTTGTGTCCTGGCCTGACCCCGAGTCCTGTGCTATCATACTGACAGTTTTAATAATGTGGAAGAGAGTAGAAAAAGAGTTTTATATATAATCTCCATTTCTAGGAAGAAGAAAGACAATTAAAAAATGAACAAAAACTGAGAGGGCTTAATGTCCATAGAGCATAACTAAAAAAATTTCTAAAAGACATATTTCAGGAAGAAAGAAAATAAACCAGGAAGGAATATCAGTGATGCACAAAGAATGATGAGCAGAGAGAATGGCAATCATATAGTTCAATCTCAACCTGAGTTTATCCCAAGAATATAGGAGTAGTCGAGCATTAGAAAATCTATTAATGTGATTCACCACCTTCACAGAACAAAACAGTAGTGTTATGAGCATAATATCTCAATAGACGCAGGAAAGGAATGTAATACAATGAAACATTCATAATAAAGAACCACCCCTTAGCAAACTAAGAGTAGAAAGAAACTTCCTCGAGTAAAGTCTATCTATGCAAAAATCACCACAAATGGTGAAACATTAGAAGTAGTTATTTTAAATGATAAAAGAGGATACCCACTATCAACACTTCTATTCAACTTTGTACTGAAGATTCTAACCAGTATAATCAAAACATGAAAGATATAAAGAATAGAATGTAAGAAACCAAAGTGCCATTATTCATAGACGGTATAACTACAGAAAACTGTATATAGAAACCCAAAATAATATATAAATAATTAACATTAAACAGATTTATAGGTAGAGCATACTGGTGATTGCAAGAGGGGAGGAGAGTGGATGTTGGGTGAACTAGATGAAGGGGATTAAAAGGTACAAACTTCCAATTATAAAATAAGTCACAGGGATGTAATGTACAACATAAAGAACATAGTATAACAGTAATAATTTTGTATGGTGACAGATGGTTACTAAACTTATCGTGGTAATCATCTCTTAATGTATTTGGTTGTCAAATCAGTATGCTATACACATAACAGTTTGCTAGATATAACATTAATATACCCAAACTGCATTTTATTTCTGTGCAATAGCCACAAAGAGTTTGATTATGTATTTTTGATAATGTATTTTTGAATAAACCATATATAATAGTGACCAAAAATGTAAAGTACCCTAGAATATCCTTTTTAAAATATAAAATACCTAAATGAAGAAAATCATAAAACTTTATTGAAAGACATTAAAGTAGATCTAAATAAGTGGAAAGATATACCATCTTCAAAGATAGGAAAATAATATCATAAAAATGTAAATTCTCCCTAAATTGATTCATAGATTTAATGGAATGCTAATCCAAGTCCCAGCAGAAATTTTATGGACTTTAGCAAGCTGAGTCTAAAATTTACTCAGAAAACCAAATGCCAAATACCCAAAAAATTTTTAAAGAACAAGAAAAGGTAATTTTCTTTACCAGATAAAACTTTCTAAGCTATAGTAATTAAGGCAATGTATTATTTGTAAAAGAAAAAGACATGTATAATCTAAATGGACCACAGCTGAGAATCCTAAAACAAAACCATCCATTTATGGTAACTTAATCTTTGACATGAATGATATTTCAGATCACTGTGGCAAGGGTAGATGCTGAGATAATTGGTTTTCCATGTGGAAAAAAATAACATCCAAAGCCTACCTCATGTATACAAAACTTTAAGACCCGCTAAAAAGAATCTTTATGTTACAAAGAATTATTAAACAAAATAAAAAACATTAAAGCTGTAAATAAAATAATAATTTAAACCCCATTAAAATTAAGAAATGTAGTTAATCAAAAGACTCATAATAGCTTCAAGCTAGGAAAAGCTATTTGCCAGACATAAAAATAGCAAAGGATTACTATCCAGAATATACAAAGAATTCTTAAGAAAAAAGAATTCAATAGAAAAATGGGGACAAGAACAGTCATTTTATGGAAAAGGAAATACAAATGGCCAATTGACATATGAAAAACACTTACATTAGTCATTAGGGAAATGCAAATGAAAACCAATATGTTATCATTTGTTATAAGATATAAGTTATCTGGTGGTATCATATACCACCAGATCAGCAAAAATTTAAAAGGCTGATGGAGATGACAAATATTGGAGATGACATGGAGCAATGGATATTTATATACAATATTGGTGGGAGTATAAATTGTTAAAATCACTTTGGAAAATAAGATGTGGAAATCCCATGACCAACACGTAACCCAAAGGCATGTACAAAGACATACGGAGCTGTACTGTTTGTAATGGCAGAAAGCTGAAGATAAGACAAATGTCCTTCCAAGGAGAATTGGTAAGTAAATAACAGTATATTTCTGCAATAGAATGATGCATAACACTGAAAACTAATTATCTATAATTGAATAAATCAATGTGGTCAATTCTCAGAAACAATGTTAGAGGAAAACACTCATAAACAAATAGATATATTGTTTATAGGAAATTTTAAAACAAGAAAACTCATTATGTTGTGGAGTTAGGATAAAAGGAGGGAGATGTGATTGGTGAAAAACATGGCATAAGGGATCTTCAGTGCTGTTATTAATATTAGATTTCTTTAGTTGGATTGTAGGTTCATAGGCCTTCATTTTATTATTATACATTATAATATGTGTTATATACCTATCATATATTTCATAATATAATAGAGAGAAAGAAAGGGAAGAAATGCTTTTTTTTTTTTTTGGCTGTGACCACCAGGGAATTCCAAAAGAAATGCTTTCTGATAACTCTTTTTTCCACTCCAGTGCAGAGTCAAGTGCTCAATACATCCTTAATGACCTTAAGGCTGCCTCAGAAGAAGGCTAAGCACTTTTCAGCACTTTTCATATAAAATCCTACAAGTAACTTCTTTAGTAAATGTAGATGCAGATGAATGGAAAACGGGGAGCAAAGCTCTCAGCGTGGGCCATGCAATTATAGAACACTTCCCCTCTCCCTCCCCACACTCCTCTGCCCCTGGCATCTTCTATAAAGACTTTTCTTCCATGAAGCCTTCACTGCTTTCTTTACTGAAACTGACTACTCCCCTCTCTGGATTACCATTCCAGGGCAAACTAGCATACCACCATTCCTCAGTTATGTACGTGTCTGCATACCCAAACGATTTCCGTGATTTTTCTGGGAAGGAAATGATCTTGTTAATTTAGTTGCCCTCAAAGTATCTAGCACAGCCTGGCACATTACAGACCCTAAATAAATTTTTATCCCATTGAATTAAATTGATCCTCTTTCAGTTTCACCCCAGATTCATGTCCAAAGCAAAGCGTTTTACCTCTTTCTAACTCGGCTATTACAGTCAGGAAGTAAATAAAATATTCATTACTTCCCTATGATGTTGTAAAACTAACAGTGGTAGCGAATTCTGCATGAAGTATCACAAGTAAGATTCCTAAATCCAGGTCTGAGAGCTCCCTCCCTCCCAACTCTCTTATGAAGGGAATGAGCCAGATAAATAGGTAAAAAGGAAGAAACACGGCTTTCCTGGTGGCGCAGTGGATGAGAGTCCGCCTGCCGATGCAGAGGACACAGGTTCGTGCCCCGGTCCGGGAAGATCCCGCATGCCGCGGAGCAGCTGGGCCCGTGAGCCATGGCCACTGAGCCTGCGCGTCCGGAGCCTGTGCTCCGCAACGCGAGAGGCCACAACAGTGAGAGGCCCGCGTACCGCAAAAAAAATGCCCAGTCACCACTGCACAAATGGAAAAGCTCTTTGCCCTACCGTCAGTAGTTACAGAATAAAATCTGTTTTCTCCACTTT